GCTTGTCTGCTGAAATGAAGCTAACTGCTTGTGTTTGCCTGTAACTCTCCAGCCTTGTGTTTACTTGGAAGAAACACCTGATGGTATTGTACATGTATTCATTTATTGTTACGTATATAAAGAAGTTAATGAATCCAGCTGAATCAGTTATCTGTGTGTACTTTCTGGATTTGAATTTATGCAACAAACTCTGACAGTTTGTGTTTTGGTTTTAGGTTTTGGCACTGATTCAGAGATTGAAAAACCTCGTTCAGCCATGAGCCAAATGAACTTCGTCCATCTTTTCCTGGTTTTTGTTCTCATCAACCCTCAGAGGGTGACTGCTTACGGCTTCCGAAATTGCATCCAAGCCATGAAGAATCCTTTATATTTCAAATGCATGCAGCGTTTCCTGAACAATATCTCCAGTATTGTGGATGACCTCCCTAATAATGCCCAAGTGATCAATGCATCCCATAACGCCATTAAAGTCTTGCCTTATGGGAGCTTCCGTCACCTCCCTCAACTGGAGATCCTACAGTTGAGCTACAACAAAATGGAGAAAATAGAAGGGGGCGCCTTTGAGAACCTAAGGGCCTTGAGGAAACTCAACCTCTCCTGTAACTATCTCACAAATCTTTCCAATGGCACTTTCCTTGGCTTGGCGAACCTCACCCTCCTCCTCCTGCACAACAATCACTTGAACGTGATTCATCAGAAGGCCTTTAGTCCGTTACGAAGCCTTCTGGATTTGCAGCTCCAGTTCAACATCTTGAGCAGCTTTAATGTTGTGATTCAGAGCGTACAGAAATTGAACGGGCTGAAGTATCTCAACCTTTGCAACAATAACCTGAGTTTCCTTCAGCCGGGAGTGGGATTTCCACCTTCTTTGTATAACCTTAAACTCTGCAACAATTCTCTTCGTAAGATGGAGGGTCCGGGCCCGAGATTCCTGGGGAACGTCACAGTGCTGGACCTCTCTTATAACAAGTTCTCAGACGTCTCATCTTTTGCAAATGTTAGTCTTCAAAGACTCCAAAGATTAAAGTTGATGGGGAACAAGATTGATGTTCTCCAGCTCTTGGATACGTCTAACCTGAAGCCTCGCAGCCTGGATTACTCTGGATTGCAATTAAATAACGTTTCGCAACTGACCAAGGTGTGCCAGCGTCTTGGGAAATCCAGCCGTCCCTTCAGCCTCCACCTGCAGAGCAATAACCTGAAGTACGTAAGTGGCCAAGCTTTCCTCGCTTGCCCTCCCATCCAGCTTCTGGATCTTTCGAGGAATCGCCTCAGATCGGTGGGCTGCGTGAGGGAAATGTTGAACGCCACGGCGCAGAGCCGTTTGAATAAGTTGGTGGTGGAGCACAATTTGCTGAAACACCTGCGGGTTTGCTTTAACACGGCTCCCTTCGAAGAGCTGACGGCCATTTCTTTCCGTTTCAATCGCATCCTCTCGATCAGCAGCTCAGCTTTCCACTACGCCCCTAATTTGACCACCCTCCATTTGAACATCAACTCCATCGCCTTCCTGCACCCAAAAGCCCTGAAAGGCTTGAGGCAACTCCGAGAGCTGCGCTTGGACAACAACCTTCTGACGGACATCTACAACGACAGCTTCAGTGACCTGAGCAACCTCCAAACGCTCAACCTCAGGAACAACCACGTTTCTGTCCTCTTCCCTGGCACCTTCAAGAGTCTCGGGGAGCTGTCTATTTTAGACCTGGGGGGAAACAATATTCACAGGCTGGCCAACATGTCCTTCGAAGGGCTGAGGAGTCTTTCCAAACTCTACCTGGACAACAACAACATCCAGTACATTATCCCCAGTTTTTTCCATCCGATCGAGAGGACTCTCCAAGTGCTGGACCTGATGGGGAATAAGATATACTTCATCAGCAAGCATGAGCTCAAGCAACCCCCCTTTTTGAACCTGGGCAGAGTCTACGACCTCAAACTTCAATCCCAGCAGCCCCATGGCTTGAAAGTCATCCCCTCCAAGTTCCTCAAGGGCCTGACCTCTTTGCGCAATCTCTACCTGTCGGAGAACAAAATTCTGTCCATCGCCCCGGATGTCTTCGATGACTTAAGGCAGCTGGAATATCTAACCTTGGCCGATACCAGCAACGGCATGGGGGATTTCCCCCCCGGGATATTCAAGAACCTTAAGAATCTGACAACTCTCGATCTGGAGAACGCCGGGCTTCGCACCTTGACCCTCGAGGTATTTGGCAACCTCAGCAACCTGCGCTCCCTTCTGTTAGGGAAGAACGAGCTACATACGTTCAACAGCAGCGTGGCGAACGCTCTCCCGTCGCTCAACTACCTTGACCTACGCAAGTGCCCGTTGGCGTGTACCTGTGACAATATGTGGTTCCAGAATTGGCTGATCAATAGTTTGGTGCAAGTGGTGTACCTCTATAACTATTCTTGCAATTCTGGACAGCACTCCAGTTACGTTTATAGCTTTGATACCCATGTCTGCTTCCAAGATATTGGGCTGTACCTCTTCTCCGCAACCCTCCCGTTTTTGCTGCTCTGGATGCTGTTGCCTTTCCTTTATGATCGCAGCTACTGGCACATAAAATATCACATCTACATCTTGCGTGCTTGGGTCAACGATCACTGGAGGCGCGGCAAAGATGAGCATTACAAGTTCGACGCCTTCGTCTCCTACAACTCGGCGGACGAGAGCTGGGTGCTAGAACAGTTGGTGCCCAGTCTAGAGAAAGCGGGAGCTCCCACCTTCCGGCTTTGCCTTCATCACCGAGACTTTCAGCCCGGGAGATACGTCATAGACAATATAGTAGACAGCATCCACAATAGCCGACACACTATTTGTATCATCAGTAGGAGGTATCTGCAGAGCGAATGGTGCTCCATGGAGATTCAGCTTGCCAGCTACCGGCTTTTCGACGAATTAAAAGACGTCCTTATTCCTGTTATCCTAGAAGCCATCCCCGAGAGGGAGCTGTCTGTCTATCATCGGATGCGGAAAGTGATGCTGAAGAAGACGTACATTGCATGGTCCCCGGATCCCGAGGCCCAGAGGTTGTTCTGGGCTAAGTTGAGGACGGCTCTGAAGACCAGTAACTCTGAGGACAAAGAGGAGAAATTGACTGACTGGTTTGATCAAGGAGACACGCCAGATACGAGCTTGCTGCAAGCCTGATTCCATTTGAAGACACAATGCCCAAATTTACCCAATCACGGCTTAATGTGATGTTTTGGTTCACACGTGCATCTCAACCCCACTTAAGCCTAGTCTAACATGATACAATTTTTTTAAAAAAATATTCTCGTTGATGATAGGAAATGATTGGATTAGTTTAGTTTGATCGTTATTATTATACACTGACCAAATTAAAACAGTGCAATCATTTTTATTAGTGCAAGCTTCCATAATGAAACGTGGAGAATCACCACACGAGGTTTTAGTGGTTTAGCAATTCTGTATGCCAAAAATTAAAAAATTAAAATTAATGGAAATGGGATCATCCCATTTCATTTTCATACATTTGTGAGGAGGACTAGAATGATCTCTGTGAGCAAAATGACACATCCAGGTAAATTCATGGCAACCGCTACAAACACTTGCGAACTTTCATTTAGTAGAGGTATCCTTGATTTACAGCTATGTTTAGTGACCGTTCAAAGTTACAATGACATTACTTACCGTTGGTCCTCACTTACATCTGAACCAGTATCCCCATGGTCATGTGATCAGAATTCAGGTGCTTGGCAACTG